AAAAAAAAAAAAAAGGCCAACTTCAGCCCTAGAGACAAAATTTAACAGCGTCAAATGTCTGTTAACATCTGGATTCAAACTACCTCTCTACATGAAAATAAAAAATAAACCATATAACATCTATCGCTGAATGAACTGTAGTTTCATGGCCCATCTCTGAAACTGTCTCATTTTATATATTTTTACCATTTCATTATACATGACAAATTAACTCATAGCAAAGACAAATAAATTATAAGAAGACAAAACCCAAAGCTGTTCAAAATTAAAAGCAGTCACAGGTACAAAATAAGACTATTTCCTTGCTAAAACAGTGGTCTAGCTGGCCTTCCCCATGGGATGCACCTGAGATAAATAAAAATAAGTCTCTTGAAGTTTTGAGCACTTTATTCTTGTATTCAACATGACTTTCAGCATTTCATAAATCAATTTATCCAAACGTCATGGCGATGGAATCTTTCACCGACTGGACAGCAGAAGAACCTAATGTGCTCTAATGACCTAATGGGCTTTGAGTCCTACATCTTTCTGACCACTCAGAACTCCTTTGGTGCTCATCTTCGGCTCCAGCCCTCGGCACCGAGTTCCATTCTGGGCACAGAGTAGGCATTCAATCATTACTTACTGATGGGCATGTTAATGGACTGTCAGAACACAGCTAGTGTTTTCCTCAGTATTTCATAGATCCAACAGAGAAACTCTGCACTCCTGCTCTTTTTAAAAAACGTTTTTAAACCTTTCATTGCGAAAACTTTCAAGCCTGAACAAAGTAGAACAGAACAAAGAATCCCCATCACCCAGATTCAATCATTATAAACTCAAGGACAACCCTGCTTCATCTATATCCCCTACCACCATCATCATTTCTCTGTAGTGAATCCCAGACTTCATGGGGTTTCATCTATAAACATTTCACTGTGTATTTCTTAACGATAAAAACTCTTTCAAAAACATAATCACAAAACTACTATCATACTTAAGACGTTAACAATTTTTAAATGTTAAATGTAAATTTGATGTTAAATATATTCAAATATTCAGTGTTCAAATTATCTCTGATTGTCTCACCAAATTTTCTTTTAACAGCATCTGTTTGAATCAGGATCCAAATAAAGTCCACACATTCCGCTCTCTACTCTCAGGCGCTTGTGAGTATTTCCTCAGTGACAACTGCTAGAAGCATTCAGAAAACTACAGCAGTGAAGTTCGAGTTTTTTCCTTCATAAAAATTTTCATGCCTTAAAAAAGGCTGTTGTGTACTGCTAAATTTGCTTGAATTACACTTCCATTTATTCCATTTATCTCCTCGGTGCACGTAAGTCTGCCTTGGAGGAGGTGCTTATATCCAGCCTCTCAGGATATTCACTCTGCTCTACATTTTTCTCTGGTACTAAATAGTAGTGGGATGTAGATAATCTCAGGCAATTTATGTTTTATATTTCAACTCTGTAACATAGGTTGCACAGCTCTTATGCGCATGTTTTGGAGAAAAAGCTTTCTGTAACTCTTCCCTTGGTGGTTGATAAGACAGCTGATGAAGACTGGCTGACTTCCTCTGCCCTGAGGCTCCAGGAGCAAAACCCACTAGGCACTGTGGGCAGTCTGGGTCCATTTCCCTCAGAAAAGGAAACATGACACCTCACTCTGTTTGGGACTTTAAGAGGTTTTGCTGAATGCATGCCAGTGCTGTTTCTGACACATACACACACACACTGACACACATGCACACACACTGACACAGACAGACACACACACGCATAACTGTATCTACCTCCCACAAACATATTATATAGAACACAGATTTTTAAATACTAGAAACAGTACCATTTCTCTGCTGTCATGAATACTTCTGAAAAGACTACTCAGGAAATTCTTGATGATTTTAAGAAATAATTGGAAGGCAACATTTAACCATTTCTAGAGAAGAGACACTAAAGGCCAATTTAAATGCAATTTTGCAAACACAGCACAAACCCTGACTACCCACTCTGAGTTAATAAGTTCAGAAGGAAGATGGGGTTCCCTCTTCTGGCTGACTAGACCCATCCTGGGCTCACTGAGGTGACAGACACCAAAGTTTCGTGACCCTTCAAACTGGTAAGGAGTGCTGTCTTGTGCCTATAAAAATATATGCCTCGCAGAATGGAACTACATGTCTCCCATAAGAGGCGAAACGTTCCTAAAAAGGGGAACTTACATTGATTCCATAGTGTTCAGTGACTCCTCGGCCATGCTCTCCTAGGACTCCAAACGAAAGGCTTTCCTCCAGGAAGATTCTTGCTTTGTATTTGTATTTTAACTTAACCTAAGTGTTATATAAAGGTTAGGATACTAATGATTAGCATCATATAGAACATTATTATGAAGAAAAAAATTAAGATTAAAAAGTATGTACAGCTGATCCTCGATACTTGTGAATTCTGTACGTGCAAATTCATCTACTTATTAAAATTATTTGCAACCTCCAAATCGACACTTTCTTCCTGTCATCACAGACATGTGCATGTGCAGAGCAGTGAAGAATTTGAATTACCTGACACGTGTTTTCCCAGGTAAGGGTGAACGGGCAACTGTTTCAGCTCTGATCCTGTGAATTAGTACCCTATGGAAGGTCTATTTATTGCCACTTTTTTGGACTTCTGTGTTTTTTGTTGGTGAGTTTGCTATTTAGAGTGGCCCCCAAGTGTCATGCTAAAGTGCCGTCTACTACTCCTAGTGCACGAAGGCTGTGATGTCCCTCATGGAGAAAATTTGTGTGTTAGAGAAGCTCTGTTCAGGCATGAGTTGTAGTGCAATGAATCAACAGACTTTAAATAAGACACCTTTAAACAAAAACACACATAAAGCAAGTTTTGTGTCAACTGGTGATGAAAATGGTGTAGCCAGAGGCTCAGAGGAACCTAACCCTGTAATTTGCCAAGCAGCAATAGTTTAGTATTTCTTATTCCAGTGTTCATGGCAACTTTACAGAATATTAAGTAGAGTGAATGATGAGAATCAATTGTACTTTAGATGGTCTAAAATGATTCAACTTAACAACAGACAGCACAATACTGATTTTTTTTTTTTTTTTTTTTAAAGAAAAGTCTTGCTCTGCCACCCAGGCTGCAATGCAGTGGCAGGATCATGGCTCACTGCAGCCTTGACCTCCTGGGTTCAAGTGATTCTGCCACCTCAGCCACCCAGTGTGTTGGGATTAAAGGTGTGAACCACCATGCCCAGCTTCAGTGCTTACCTACACTTGAGCTGTTCCTACACTTCATCTTTAGTTTCACTGCCCTGGCTGTGTATCTGTCCATCAGTACTGCTTCATTACTGTAGTCCTATAGTATATGTCCTAGTACCTCTGGTTCACTACCTCCCTCACATTATTCCATCAACCACTGACACTCTTACAAAAACAGAAAGAAGAAAACAAATACGTCTCTTCTATTGATACTTAAAATATATTTAGATTTCTTCAGAAAGTGAAAAAATTAAAAAATAACATATGAAATCCTTATTTTGAATCCTTATTCAATTAATAGACTCCTAGACTAAAATCTCAATGGCCGAATGCAAGGGTGGTTCAACATGGAAAAATAAAATATGTATTACATACACATTAGTAGAATGTAGGGGGAAAAAACCCCACATGATCATCCCAATAAATGCAGAAAAACACGTTTGACAAAATCCAACAACCTCTCATGATAAAACACTCAATAAATTAAAAATGGGAAGGAACTTCCTCAACCCGATAAAAGGTTATTATAAAAAACTCACAGCTAACATCATACTCAACGGTAGGAGACCGAAAGCTTTCCTTGTAAGAGCAGGAACAAGACAAAGATGCTCACTTTCACCACCTCTAGTCAACACTGTAGTCGAGGTCCTAGCCAGGGCAATCAGGCAAGAAAGATAAAAGGCATCCAGATTGAAAAGAAACAAGTAAAACTATCTCTATCCACAGATGGCATAATCTTATATATAGAATAAGATCCACAAAAGTACTAGTCGAGCTAAAAAATTCAGCAGAAGTTACATTATGCAAAAGCAATACACAAAAGTCTGTTGTATTTCTATAAACCAGCAGTAAACAATCTAAAAAGGAAATTAAGGAAACAATTCCATTTATAATAGAATAAAAAAATCAAATACTTATTGATAAATTTAACCAAAGAGGTGCAGGATATGTATACTAAAAACCACACAACATTGCTGAAGGAAATATCTAAATAAATGGAAACATCCCAAGTTCATAGACTGGAAGACTTATTATCATTAAGATGGTAATACTTCCCAAAGTGACTACATATTCAATGAAATCCCCACCAAAATCCCAACAATACCTTTTACAGAAATGGAAAAGCTAATCCTAAAATTCAAATGGAATTTCAAGAGACCCCAAACAGCTAAAACAATTTTGAAAAAGAAAAAAGTTGAACTCACATGTCCTGATTTCAAACCTACTACAAAGCTACAATAATTGACACAGTGTAGTACTGGCATAAGGACAGATATATAGCAAAGAATGAAACAGAATAGGGTCTAGAAATAAACCCATACGTCTATGGTCAATTAATTTCCACAAGGGTGCCAAGACCAGTCAATGGGGAAACATTCAACAAATGATGCAGGCAAAACTGGATAACCACTTGATGACCTATTCATCATCGCACATGCAAAAATGAACTCAAATGAACTACAGACCTAAATGTAAGATTGAAAACTATAAACTCGGCTGGGCACGGTGGCCCAAGCCTGTAATCCCAGCACTTTGGGAGGCTGAGATGGGCGGATCACGAGGTCAGGAGATCAAGACCATCCTGGCTAACACGGTGAAACCCTGTCTCTACTAAAAATACAAAAAACTAGCCGGGCGA